GTTCATGGAAAACACCATGCTCTGTTGATTTCATTTTCCCACGGCGTTTTTGAAACTCTCTCGTACACTTAAATTTTATCTTAAAATCTTCTTTGTAATCCCTTATGTAAAGATTTCGGTGTCTCACTCCCAAATAAGACCTGACCGTAAAGGAGCGTCATCCATTTTATACCTCTGTATACTAGAGTGCTCACTACCCCTGTCTCTCACTGGGCAATCAGGCCATGTACTTCCCCTTCTGGTCACTTGGAGGTGCACAGTGGAAGAGAAGACATTTATTCCTGGAACCAGGACATGCCTTTAGGGACTACACTTACACTGCCCTGTTTTAGGCAGAACAAAAGCAAATGTTATTTATAGCGGGAATGGCTTGGGTGGTTTTTTGTTGTTGTTTGGTCCGTGTGTAAAATGGACCAAAGGAACATCCCTGGAGATTGGGACAGGTGTGTGAACTGCTGATGTGATTGAGATCGACCCGCACCTTTCCTGAGACTAGGGTCCAGGGTTCCAAGTCCCGACGGGGTTGGCAAGTCTTTCTTACTGGTAAGAAGTAGTTACTGGACCAGGTAACTTCCTCAAGTCTTTACAGAAAGTGTTTGGCAAGTAGATGTGGTGTGCTCATTTTTTCCTTTACCCTTAACAATCACTGAAGGCTGTTTTCGATTACTTAAAAAAAATTTTAAAAAAAGAACCAACAAGCCAAATACACGGCCATTATGTTCAACTCATACTAACCCTGTGTAGCTTTCCTGAGGCTGTAAATCTCTCCCTCTGAGTCACTAATGGGTTTGAACTGCCAGCCTTGCCGTTAACAGTCTTACCTGACAACGATCAAGTGCTTGGCTTCTCCTCTTCAACCCTGCATACTCTGAGATTCAAACTTGAGCTTGGTTTTAGAGTTGACATAAGAAGATAGCTTTTAAAAGGCTAGTGTGTTACATCACACAGTAATGCAGAATATGCAGTAAAGGAATAACTGCCTTTCTTATGAGTGATCCATGGCCTACTGAGTTCCTCTTAGTTCTATGCTTTTGAAATTTCACTAAAGCCCAAGGTTCCTACCTGGTCATTGTATTACTTAGTCTTATCCTGGCTGCAACACCTTTTCATATGTCCACCTTTAACGTGTATTAAACTCACATGTTTCTATAGAGCCGAATTATTTGAACTGTATAGAGTTGAACATATTGCGCTTGTAAATATTATTTAGCATCCTGCTCCTTAGAAAACATTATCCACCTACTATGCTGGTCTCCTGATCCCTAAGGTAACCTGTTCAAATCCCATACAGGGTATCTTTCAATACCTTCCTGGCGTGTTGTGTGCATGATTTTATCACTCACACAGACCACCTGCCATAAAGAACTTTTATAGAAACAGGTAGCACGGCAGGGGTGCACTGCCCTTAAATATGCAAAGCTGTTCTTCATGCCATTAACTGTTAGTAATTTTATGTCGAATATACAATCTATGCATGCACTAAGATGCTTACATTAATTTTCAAAATAAATCCTCAGGACATGCATAGCAAAGGAACCCCGTGGTGGCTCTGTGGGTCGGCATGGTCAGCAGTCCAAACCCAACTGCAACTCCTTGGGAGAAAGAGGAGACTGCCTGCGCTCTTGAAAGTTTACAGCTGGGGGAGGGAGGGGAAAAAGAGGAGCTATACCACAGGCTCAAATAGGCAGTAAATGCTTAAAAAATAATGATGGCAACATATGTACAAATTATGCTCGTTATAAGATCTGTAAGAACCCACAATAAGATCTTTTAATTTACAAAAAGGGTGGGGGGTATTTACAGCCCTGGAAGCCACAGGCAGGGTGTCTGAGAGTCAGAATCGGTTGGGTGGCAGTGGGTTTCAGTGGGACAGACAAGGTGCTGTCGTGGAACAGTGATCCCTGCCATGCTGTCACTCAGAGCTCACAGCCTCCCTGGGGAGAGAGGGGTGGATGCTCTGGTAGTTCACCAGCAGTCAGGAACTTTTATTTATTTGCCAAATCGGTTGTGCGGCTAGCCTATGGAATCCCACTGCTTTTAACTGGTGCTCAAGAGCCCTTCCTCCCTGTAGTTGCTAAAAACATAGGCACTATCTCAGGCCAGGCTGCCTTTAAGGAGAAAATGCATTTGCTGACTAGCCATACTTCTAAAGAATCCATTGGTACCAGTGCCTGACTCACCTGACCTCCTTTGACTCTTTTCCTTAAGATGCAAAAACTAGAAGTCTGTGAGACACTGGTCACTCTGTCACAGGCAAATGTTTGCAACAGCTTTCAGTAATGAAACAAAGGAGATGAAGTCTTAGGTCTACTTGAGGAAAGGTTCTTTTCCGTGGAAATATAGGCCAACAAGAAGAATAAAGTATGAAACCCATGGGCTAAGACTGTTCACTAGACTTCTTCTGAAGAATGTTCATACCAGGATTCTTTTTCGTTCTCCCATTTTCTGTAGTGCTGTCTGATAAGGTAGATAAACTTGCCAAAGTATGTGTGCTTGCTTAAATAGCACTTCAGTTATCATTAAGCCAAAATATATGAAAAAAAATGCTCCAGCTTTTGTTGATGGCCTATTAGTATCCACTACAACAGAATTCCTATATCACTCACTCACACACACACACACACACACACACACACACTTGAAGACTCTTTTTTAAGAGTTAATTGTCATAGAATTTGACCCCTATTTGCCAGTGACCAGTGGCCATGAGCTGACTGGGACCTTGATGACCCCATGTGTGTCAACGTGTAGCTGTGCTTCATAGAGCTTTTTAGCAGCTGAGTTTTCAGAAATAGGTCCACCAGGCCTTTGTTCTGAGGTATAAGTGGGCAGGCTCCAACCGCCAACGTTTCTACTTGCAGCCAACCCCATTAACTAGGAGGTGAGCCTTGATGGCTTATTGGGTTCCTCATTGGGCTGCTAGCCACGAGGTCAGCAGTTCAAAACCACCGGCCACTCCTCAAGAAACAAATTAGGCTTTCTCCGCCCTTAAAGAGTTAATAAAAACAAAAAACACCACATTCACTGCCATACCAAGTGACAGACTCAGAAGCCCCAGAGACAGGTCTTCTGGACCTGTGGGGCTGCTCAGAGTCAGAACGACAGTGAGGTTTTGGGCAGTGGTGTCAACCCTTTGGACCACCTAAGGACCGCTAACCTGTAATCAGAGCAGGGTCAATGATAGGGCCTTTATTCTTAGGTTTGGAATAATTGCCTCCTCCCCACTGGACGGGCATGCCTGTACGATTGAATGACCAAACATAGACGAATAGTTTGTCACCGTAGGCTGATGAACTCCTTTCTCTTTTTCTGCATTTTCAGCCTGAACCTCCGACAACAAATAAATGGCAGCTGGACAACTGGCTGAGCAAAGTCAACCAGCCAGCCGTGCCCCCGGACGGCCTCGGGAGCTCGGGGGCCCCGCACAGGCACCAGGACACCAAGGGAAAGGGTAGTGGGGACAGCGCCGGCAGTGGCATTAGTCACGAGCATGCTGCACCCAAAGAACCTGCCCCTAAGGGCTCCAGCAGAGCTCCACGGGTCCCCTCCGAAGCCCCCCACCCTGGCAAGAGAAGCTGTCAGAAGTCTCCTGCCCAGCAGGAGCCGCTGCCGCCACCGCCACCCCCACCACCCAGGCAAACTGTTGGAACCAAACAGCCCAGGAAACCGGCCAAGGCCTCTGCCCAGGCGGACTTGCGGGCCAGCGTGCAGGTGGAAAGTGAGCCAGGACTCCTTTCCCATGGCTCCCAAGACCAGACGTCCAAAGACAAGCCCAAAGTGAAGACGAAAGGGCGGCCCCGGGCTGTGGAGAGCAGAAAGCCAGAGCCCCCAGCGGTGCCCACCCCCAGCGAGAGGAAGAAGCACAAGAGCAACCAGCCTGCCCCCTCTAAGTCACTCTCAGGCCCTGAACCCTCGAAGGACAATGTGGAGCACAGGAGCCCTGAGCACTTGGCTCTGGTTCCCCTGAGTCAGAGCAAGGGCCGGGCTCCCGGGGGCCGCGGCAGCAGGACTAGCGGCTGCCGCCAAGCGGTGGTCATCCAGGAGGACCGCCTGAAGGACAAACTCCCGTTGCCTTTGAGAGACACCAAGGTGCTCTCGCCGCTCAGGGACACTCCCCCCCCACACAGCCTGATCGTGAAGATAACCCTGGACCTCCTCTCCCGCATACCGCAGCCACCCAGGAAGGGGCTCCGCCAAAAGAAAGCAGAAGACAAGCCGCCCTCCGCGGGGAAGAAGCATGATTCTGAGAAGAGAAACTCGGACAGCACCAGCAAAGTGGCCAAAAAGAGGAAGGTGAGTGGGCGGTTGGATTCCCCGTCAACAGTATGAGGGGCCTTCAGAGAGTCTGAGAAATCGGGCTGAAAAGAGTGGGAGTTTTACACGGATATTTGGGTGTGTTTTTCCCCACCCCCTCTGTAGGTACTGTGCAAGGGTTGGCCCTTTGACTGGCTCCTTGCCTTGATTTAAACTCAGCTGGTGTAGTGGTAAGGACTTGGACTGTGAACTACAAGGTCAGCAGTTCAAAACCATCAGCCGCTCAGCGGCAGAAAGACGAGGCTTTCTACTCAAAGAGTTGCAGTCTCTGGAACCCCCAGGGGCAGTTCTCCCTTGTCTGTAGGTCGCTGTGAGTCAGCATCGACTACATGGCAGTGAGTTTGGCTTTAGGAGTGAGTGGAGTTGTCTCAGCAGAGGTTGGACATCTCCGTTTGGATTTTGCTTGTCTATTGCCAGAGCCCTGTTGGTTAAGCATTGGGTTGCTGCTCGCAAGGTCGGCAGTTTGAGCCCGCCAGCCACTCCTTGGGAGAAACATTTGTTCCCATAAAAACCCACAGTCTTGGAAAACCCAAAGAGCTCTTCTGTGTTGTTTTGTAAGGTTGGTGTGAGTTGGAATTGACTTGATGCCAGGGGGTTGGTGTTTCGTTTCTTTGCTCTTGGCACCAAAGCCTGGACTTCGATAAATGTTTCCCATCCTACAGCCAGAGACATAACAGTGTCAAGGTCCTTCAGCAGTCTTGGTGGTTTGAAAAAAGAGGAGGCAGTCATTAACAACGATGGCTTCTTTGGGGCCTAAATTCCTCTTTATTCTGACAACATTGGCATCTGCCATCGACCCCTTTGGGCTTTGTCCTCCAGATAAGACTACCCAAACTGAATGTTCATTAGTGTTCTGAACGACTGAAACAACTACGATAAGCTAACTTTTACTCATGCATGATTTTTTAAGTTTCATTGTCATATAATTCACATATTATACAACTTAATAGCTCAAGCATATTAAGAAGGACTATGCAATCATCACCACAGTTTTAGAATGTTTTCTTCCTTCCTTGTTGTTAGCTTCCCATTTTCCCCAGCCTCCCCTGCCATTGCCCCTAGGCAATTATTAACCCAGTTACTGTCCCTATAGGTTTGCCTAGCCTGGATTTCGTTTATAGAAAATGATGCAGAACACAAACAGGAAGCGCCCCCCCCCCAAAAAAAAGACAAACCAGAGCTTCAATTAAAAAGAGGCAGGAGATATTAAAAACTGAAACAACTTTCAATTGGGTCAAAAGATCATATATTGAGATATGCATATATTTTTAGATATACAAATATTAACACACTTAATGGCAGCGTTCTAGCACCTCATTGTCTTGAATCCATCAGATTCGGGATTTGTGACCTCTGTTAATGAGTTTTATTAATTAGCAGAACATTATTAACACCTTTGATGTTATTAAATGGGTGCTTAAGATACCTTGTCAAGTCATATAAACTAGAATGTTGTAGCTATTAGAAATCTGTGTTTTTACTTCTGGGCTTCTAACCTCAAGGTCAGCAGTTTAAAGTCATCAGCCACTGAGTAGAGAGATGGGGCTGCCTGCTCTCAGCAAGATTTGCAGTCTTGGAAATCCTGTGCAGGCATGGACTTGGTCTGCCTTTATATTGATTTCTTTTTTGCTGCTGCTTGATGAAGGATCCGTGAGCTTTTCCCCTGGTGGCATTCCCAAACAAACCTGCCCAAGAGTCAGAGACAGAAACATGGGTCCAGCTTTCTTCTGCTGAGAAGAAATAAAAAGTTTAATACCCTTGAAAGAACATTAAAAAAAAGCTTCTCACACTGTTGTGGAAAGAGTGGGGAAAAGTCAGGAGAGCTGGCTGTGGAGTCTGTGTTTCTGGTGATTAGTCTGCGGGATCAAAACTATCATACAACCGCACCAAATAGTGCAGGTTTTTCAGAGTCATGTCAAAGGGGGCAGTGGGGTGTCCACTGCCACCGTGGTTGTAACCAACAGGAAAATGGGGTGGGACCTAGTACTAATGGGTGGTGCTATTTTAGGTAGAAGAGGCATGTTTTTCTCAGAAAACTTTAAAAACTGTGTGTGTGTGGTTTAAAGGTATAAAAACTTCATGAAGTAAATTGCTAGGAGAAAACTGCTTATGTTTAATATCGCCAAGGAAATGTTTGAGTTGTTTACCGCCTCTTCCTCCTGGGAAGTCTTTCATCCTGTAAAGCCAACCTAACTCACTGCCACTGAGGCAGTCCTGGCTCCCATGACCTTTATAGGACTTTTCAGGACCAGGAAGACTCGTCTTTCTCCCCTGGAGCAGCTGGTGGGTTCAAACTGCCGGCCTTGCGGTTCACAGCCCTGTGCAGAACCCAGTGTGCCATTGGTCTTTTGTAAATCCCCTCCCCTGTCTGATGTGGCAGTGACAAGATGAGGATCAAAGTTCCAAACCCTGGGGAGACACACACACACACACACACACACACACACACACACACACACACTCGGTGCAGCCCCCTTGGGGGGACCTTTAGTAGCAATGACCTCATTATTTGCTGTCCCCCACCCCGTTGGAGTTTATGGAAGCTCCTCAGCTAATTCTGATGCCTAGCAAAGCCAAGCGCATGGGGACAGCTGTGAGGATGGCACGGCACTGAGCAGTGCTTCACCTGGTGTGCGTAGGGTCACCATGGGTCGTAAGCACTCGATGGTGCCTGACGAGCAGCTGTGAGGCTGGGAGCCACTGAAGCAGAGCCTCCCTGCAGGGCCCACGCCTGGACAAAGCTAGATCTGTGGAGAGAGAAGTCCTTCATGTGTTTTTCAGATCGTCTGGCTCTAGACAACCAGGAATGACCTCACAGATCCAGGCAACCAGGAGTCCCCTTGCCCACAGGATGTCACCAGTTAGAAACGTCACTGGGAACTTTGGGGATTTGGACTTTGGGGCATGTATATTGGACAAATACATATGTCTGAGACTCGGTCAACCATGCACACATCTTATGATCAGTGAATCATGTGTTCTTTGTTTTTCGTCCCCACTGTTCTCTCCCACGATGGGGAACACTGAGCATGCAGTGCATATTGCTGTGCGCTTCAAGCCCATTTCAGCTCATAGGGACCCTACAGAGAGAGGAGACCTGCCTGGGGTTCTCAGCTCTCAACTCTACAGGAGCAAGTCAGGTAGTTCCTCTCAAGGAGCAGCGGCGGGTTTGAACCACCGCGCTGACCACTGGGCCACAGGGTTCCTTCCTTCTTGAATTTAGGATTAAGCTCAAATCCTTCCCAGGGGCACTTTCCACTTTCGGCACCCTAGTTTTGTTTGCTCGGGTCCTCTGGCTCAAACAAGAACAGCTGCTGCTCTGTGGGGAATCCAGCTCAGGGCCCCGGGCCCCTGAGAAACAAGGCAGGACACCCTTCTTTTTAGGATACCGGTGGGGTTAATAGTGAAGGCTTGATTCCTGAGCATGCATTCTTGCTTCCCTTCGGAGGGCATATAATAAGAATCTTGGCGGTCACTTGTTCCAGGCCACCTTTTAGAGGTGGGATTCAGAAGAGTTCACACACATCTAAGCTGCTTAGTGAAAGTCGGCCTGGGGCTCTCTGATTCTTCCATCGTTGCTCTGTTTCACACGTGCGTCTCTGTGTACTTGAGTGTAGGCGTGCTGGGACTCCCGAGAGAGGCACAAGGTCAGTGTTGAAACTGATAGAGTAGTTGTAGTGTCTGCCACCCCTGGCTCAGTCCCTCCATTCCCCCCACGCCTGGGTAAGCCACCCCATACATTCCTCCGCCCGTTTCCCTTTTAGGAGTCCTTGTTGGCCAAGTCACAGCCTCCCTCCCCCACAGGGCAAGCTCCTATTCGATTGTAATTCCCCCTATCACAAAGGCTGTGGCCTGAACAAAGTGTCGGTTGTGGAAAAGACAAACAGACATACATGCTTTCCCCTCCCCCTTCACTGAGTGCTGAGCACAGGGAGCTGTCTGTCAGGTGGGATGAGCACTCGACTGCGGGAGGCAGAGGCAGGCATGTGCTCTCAGAAGCCAGCTGGATGGCCCAGCCCCTTCTCTTGGAGGCTTTTCGTTCCTGCTCTTTCCCGCCACTCCGTAGGTGGAGCAGCGCTGGCAGACAATCGGGTGTCTGATGGAACAGGTAAAGGAAAGCAAGCACTCTGCCAGAAGCAGGTCGCCAGCTGCCTCTTGCTGTAGGCACAGGCACCGCCGAGCCACAAGCGGATAGAAAAAGAACTTCCACAGCCCGGATGTTACTTAGCCCAGCTCCCCTAAAATGCGGGTGGTTGTGGATAGACCATGGGCCTTAAGTCCCTCCCCTCACCCTGCCTGCCCCAGCAGAAGCGTGCACATGGCTGCTGGACCAAGAATCGTCTCAAGAGTGTGCCACACCACCTGTTTTTCAGGCAGGTCTTTTACTTGATGTGTAAGGCTGTCCTTCCTGCCACCCTGTTCATGGCACCTGTCCTGAGGGGCCCTGTCCTGAATCCACCCATTCAGTGCGAGTGTGGTCCTGCAAAGGGCCCGATTGTGTCCTTCCGCTGCTACGCTGAATTTCCATGGAGTGGACACGGCTGCTCCCGGCAAGCCCTGTCCCTGTTCCAGAGAGCAGATGACAGGGTTCCAAGTGCACCGTGCCCCTACCACACAAGACTCACCCGAAGCCTCCAGGCTGGAAGGCAACAACAGTCTGGGCAGGCACCCTCGACAGAAGGGGGTTTTGCTCTAGCATATTTACCTGGCTGGCCTGCTTTCCACCAACTTCTAGGACCTGACCATCTCCTCTGCGTTGCCGACCAGCGACACAAAGATTCTGAGATCAATAAGTGCCCGCCATGTCCTTCCGCACTAGTGCTGAACTTAGTGCTTGGTGATTTATTGTTTGTTTGCTGTTCCCTTGAGTTACGAACTGGCCCAAGACCGGAGCTCTGAGCAGTGCGTGGTTCAGGCCCGACTGGCCAGAAGTCATATTTTCATGTGTGGTTTGTGATGTCTGCCTCAAACCTAGCGTATCCTAAGCATTATGAAAAACATACAAACAAAAATTAGTTCTCATCCCACTTCTGGGGTTTGGTATTTTCTTGGGGAAATAATCTTGTGGTGGGTGGCTTACGCTTAGTCTCGCCTTGGGCACTTCTCCAGTGTGTCATAACTAAGCTGGAAATACCGGCCATTTATCTATTGCTGGCTACCTCGGGGGCCAGTTAATATCTGCCCATTGTTGAGACTCTTCCAGCACACAAGCTTCCCTCTTCTGGCAGCGCTCATCAGCCAGCAGAGCTGCCTAGAGCCAGTTGTGCAGAGAAAATTCACCAAACTTCTTCAGGGTACCTTGGGTACAAACTCCCCAAACCTACCACCATGGAAAAGATTCCGACGCATTCCACCCTGTGAGTTTCCAAGGCTAAAGAAACCAACATCCTCATCTTTCGTGGATGAGGAAGAACTGTTAACAGTTCTTAATACTCAATATCTGGTCGTTGCTGGGAAAGATGATGCTTTCTTTGCTCTTGCCAATGATCAGTTCAAGCGACTGGTCGTTGCCGACTGCCAATCTCATTTATGGGTAGCAACCCAGTGCCACCAGGGCTCCCTCCCCCGCTGTACAGTGAGTGCCCAGCTGGCCAGGCAATCACCGCATCAGTAGTAGGGGAGTTTGTTTTACCCGTCATTTCCAATGCCTGCTTTTTCCCTGCCTTCATTAACCGCCAGTGCATGGGAAGTGCGTGTTCTGTGCAAAGACCCACCGCAACGTCCGGGCAGGCTTCTCCTGGCCTGTCTGCCAGCCCCTTCCTTCCCTTGTCCCGAGCTCTGCCTCCAGTGTGAGAAGCAGCTGGAGGAAACTTCCTGTTGCATTTCAGCTCTGCGTGTGTGATATGCTTATGTACGCCACATGCTCGCTCTCCCCTTACGAGGGCCCTGCGGGTTGGTTTCTCCAGTTCTGCAGCGGAGCACTGTTTCTGAGCTGCTGACTGCTTTTCATCTTGCCTCAATTCCTTCTTGGCACTGGCTACTTCGAAGTTCACTTTGGCAGATCTCATTCCTAGCTAAGTGTGTGGCGCAGCACCATCCAGTAGAAATCGAACCTGAGCCACTCGCAGCATTTTCCATTTTCCTAGGGCCACGTTAAAGAAGCTCAAGGGGAGAAAAGTCGACCAGAGAAAGTCACGCTGGTGAGGATTTTTGTTCGTTTGCTTGCTATTCGCTTGCCTCTTCCTGCAATACACCTGAAGTGTGACCATCTCAACATGGAATGGATATGGAAAAGTGCTCTCTGAGCGCCCCCAGATAATGCCATGGTCAGCACACCAACCTACAGGTTGGGGTCTTCAGGAGCCAGGCCTCAGATGTGTCTCAAAAGGATGGCCTGGTAAAGGAGGTCCAAACACCAGCCACTTGAAAGCCCTCTGGAGCGGAGTCCTGCGGTGACACGTTTACAGGGGAGCAGGAGTTGAAATCAGAGCCACGGGAACTGGCCACATGGAGTTCTCTGCACGGAGCATCCGAGGTCATGTTTCAATTTGAACTGGCCGAGTTCGAGTGCCCACTGAACCCTGGGCCGTGGCTCCTGGACCAGAGTGGGCAGGGCCAGCCAGGATCTGGGCCATTAAAGCGACAAGCCCATAAGACCTCCCTCCCTACATACACACACACACACACACACACCATGAGATTAAAAACAGGTGTCTTTCTAAGCCACCTTGAACGACTCCATTTCTGGAACATGACAGTGCATAAATTACTAGAAGTGTTTTTCCGAAGAAGGCTGTGCAGGACTGGGTGGAAGTGCACCTCGGTTCGCAGCATGCCCTGCGAAGGAAGGGGATGTTTTCCGGTTTCCCTTTCTTTTGAGAGGGGCCAGGTTGTCTGGCCAGAGCCTGCCCCTGCCTGCCATATCTGGATTCATTCTCCCCACCCCACCCTGGGCAGATTCGGAGGAAGAGGGAGAGACAGTGGTGAAAACGGGGCCGCCCACACCCAATTAATGGGAATACATTTTATGTTTCCTCTAGGCCTATAGAGAGGACTTCAGGTTTTTTAGGGGTTGTCCTAGATTGACTGGCGGTATCCGAGATTTCTGACGCAGTGAACTGACAGTTGGAGGAGTTTAGTCTTAATGAGCTTCAGACAGAATCGAAGGACTCCCACCGAGATCTCTTCCTGGAGAGAAGATGGGTTCTTCCTTCCCAGGGGGCTGGCTGCCCGTGTTGAGACCAAGAAGCAGCTGGTCATCTGAAGGTCTCAGCCTGCCAGTCAGTCTCAGCAGCCTGCCAGTCAGTCTCAGCTTGTAGTTGGGAAGACGAGAACATGAGAAAGAATATAGAAGCATTCTAAAGAATTCTGCTCGTTATACACGGTGGGACCTTTCCTTAGCACTTTGGTTGGTATAAATGGGTGCTCATGCAAGTCGTGACTCACACAGAGTTCAGTGAGCCCTGGCGGAGTAGTGGTTATGCATCACGCTGCCAACTGCAAGGCCGGCAGGTGAAAACTACCAAACAGCCCTCTGGAGAAAGATAAGGCTTTCTGCGCCCGGGAGGGGATTCAGTCTGGGAAACCCACGGGGCGGTGAGACTCGCCCGTGTCCTATAGGGTAGTCGGCAGCGAGGCATTCTCTAGTGTCTGTCTCCTTATCATCTTGTTTTAAATAAAGACACGCCTCCATCTGTGCACATGGAATCTCTAAAGGAACGTGTCATCAACAGAGCAACCACCACAAAAAGTTACCCAGAATCCCAAAGCAACTATTTCTGTCGTAACGCTGGTTAAATCCACAAGGCAGCATTTTTCCTGTTCTGACTCTTAAGAAATATGGAGGATTTCATAGCCAGCTACTTTTCCAGCAATAGAAATGATGTCTTTTACTTTAGCAAGCTTTGAGTAGTTCACATTTAACTGTATGCAAATAATAAATTAATGGAGGTTCCTTTGAAGGAAGAGGAGAGGCATACTTATAATAGCACCCGTGCATTAGCTGTTGTGAATTAGCACATTGTGTTCTTGCGTGGCTAGAAAAATTCCCCTAATAGAGGAAGATGCTGTTCTGTCAGCCATCATTTAAAAATCGTCCTCTTCCAGGGCATAAAAGAATAGCCTCTTCCACTTGAGAATCTGTCAGTACTCATGCTGTGGGTGTGGGGGAGATCTTAAAAAACAGCCTGAGTTATTTTTGCCATTTCAGCATTATTTTTCTGTGCAGCTATGTGGGTGGCAATTCATAATGTTTGTTATACTACAACCGTAGGGCGAAGCAGAAAGAGACCACGATAGCAAGAAAGCCAAAGTGGAGAAAGAAAGCAAGACCCCATCTTCATCTTCATCCTCCCACAAAGAATCTACTAAAACTAAGTGAGTGTGCCGCTTCCAACCACGGGCGTTTTCCTGCTATTGGATTGACTCGTTGTTCTTATTTTCCCTAAAGGAGTGCGTTCCTAAAAGTCACACCGAATAGGGAGGGTGTTGTTACTACCCCAACTGTGCAGATAAGGAAACAGGGTCAGAAAGCTATCCAGTGGCTTGCCCCAGGTCGCAGGAATCTTGCTCAAGGTCACAGAAATCTTCCTGGGTGGAGCGGCCTTTGGCTTCCTCGGCCTGGATTCCGTGCTTTGTCTCTCGGCAACGAGTGGCGATCTGTTAGAGGAAAGGGGCTGGCAAGCGGGAGGTGAGGTTGGCAGTTGCATCTGTTTAGGAAATAGCTCACAGCACGGCTCCACAGAAGCAAGTGCATATTGTGTCCTCGCAGGTTGAGAGAGAGGAGTCAGAAGCGGAGGTGGCCCGCTGGGTTTGCCAGCTTCCAGGAAAGGGCTCCTGCTGAGGGGGGCAGCTGGTTGGTGGGAGACCTACTGGGGACCCTTAGGACCCCTGGGCGACACTGCAGACTTTGAGAAAAAGCACAGGATTATAACCCCAGGTACCTCTGATAGCTAGGGTGTCAATCAAAAAGTCCCTGAAATTTAGCCGCCGCCTTCCAGTCAGATTGCAGGCTCTGTGCTTTGTCTACCTGTTCTACCAGTAGGCTCCATATAGCACTGTGTCGCGTGGCGGGTGTCCTTCGTCAACTTTGTTGTGTGTGATGTTTCACTCCAGGCCATCCAGACCCTCCTCTGAGTCCTCCAAGAAGGAAATGCTCCCCCCGCCCCCCGTGTCGTCCTCCCAGAAGCCAGCCAAGGCTGCACACAAGAGGCCAAGGCGGGAAGCAGATGCCTGCGGCCAGGACCCTCCCAAAAGTGCCAGTAGTACCAAGAGCAGCCATAAAGACTCTTCCACGTCCAAGCACAGAAAAGCAGAGGGGAAGGGGTCTGGAAGCTCTACCGAACACAAAGTAAGTGCTGGGAGCAGAGCGGCTCGTGGCACTCATCGCGCGTGGTTTCGGTTCCCATGTCGATGATCAGTTCCTGATGGTGCCGTGTCAGAGCTCTTCTTCACTTCCAGTAAGGCGGTCACGAGCGGCTTGTATTTAAAATCCCGCCGATTTGACCAAGAAGAGCAATGTGAGATATGTCCATTCCTAAAGGACCCGTGGGTTAAGAACAGGTTTTAGTTCTAATTTTCTATCAGGTGTTTCTGCAGCGAGAAGTGGCTGCCCTGTTTAGTTTTGGGTTTGAAAATGAAATCCCAACATTTGTTCTTGGTTACAATAGGAAAAAGTATCCACTGTCTCAAATGCCAATGCTAGCTCGTCCTGCTGGTTAGCGTGTGCAGAGACCGAGAGACCATTCCATATTTGACTCTGTTGACGACTGGTTCTCCCAGACTTCCTCTTGTCTTGAGCCCTTTCCAGTCCCCAGTACAATAAGAACCCACGGCTTCCGCTTCGCTTGTAGCTGAAGCTGGAAAGGTGGTTGGTAGAGCTAAAACGGGGTCATGTTTGAGCTCCTCGTTGTTTCTTTTTGAATTGTTATTTTGGAGTAATAAGAGGGATGCAGCCTCTGGAACTATGCTCTCCAGCGGTGCAGTGTGAGCTGTATGGTGTTTTGTTTTGTGTTAAGGGATCTGCGGGAGAGACTGCAAATCCTTTTCCAGTGCCTTCATTGCCAAATGGTAACTCTAAGCCAGGAAAGCCTCAAGCCAAGCTTGACACGTAAGTCGGTGGCCGTTTCTGTCTCCCGTCTGCCGCCTTCTCCCTGCCTCCCCTCTCCCTCTTCTCCTCTCACCCCGCTTCTTTCTGCCTCGTATTCCTAAGTCGCCCTGCCCCCCCCACCCCCTGCCTAATAATTCTGCGCTCCTATGACATACCTCTGATTTTGCTTCTTCCTTTTTAGACACCAAGCGGATTTTCACATGAAGGAGGCCAAAAAGTTGAAGTCCAAAGCAGAGTTAACGGTCAGTTTCCACTCTTTAACTGTCCAGTGGCGTGCTTCAGCAAATGCTGTAGTTGCTAAATACAGGCTCTGCCAGCAGGAGCGGGCAGTGCCCGGGACCTAATGTTGCCCATGGCATATTGTTGTCAGGTACCGTGAAGTCCGTTCCAACCCATCATGACCCTGAGCACAACAGACAGAACAAAACCCTGCCCCGTCCTACACCCTCCTCACAATTGTCCCCACACCCAGCCACTGTTGGTTATGCCATCTTGTCGGGGGACAATAGACAATAGAGCAAAAGAGTGAAGAGTTTCCTAAGTGTTAGAATTACTCTCTTCAACTCCCTGGAATGCCATCTAATCTTGGACACGTCCACAGGTGTTATAGCAAAACCAGTGCCGCTTGATCTGGTTGGTTGGCGGTGTTTTAGCACAGGCGCGTGCGAGTGCCTCTACTGCGGCATCAGGTCTGTGGAGATGAACAAGGAGTCCTGCTAAGGTTGGCTGTCGGCTTGTGTTCACCCTGCAAAGATTTCGCAAAGTGAGGAAGCCTGTTTGCATTCCCAAATTATCTTGACACCCCCGATAGCCTGACCTGACAAAGTAGATGAAGGCCATTAAATACAATTTCAACACAGAGATGGTGAATGTACTGTTAGTAAACAGACTCTTTAAAAGAACAGAACTCCATTTGCCTGGTGGCTGTGGGCTTTCTGGAGGGTGGCGGTTGGAGAACATATTTATTGTCTACCTAATTAGATATGCTGTCTGGCCCTGCTACAGCATAAACTAGCGAATGTTTGCCTTTTGTCATATTTAAACATCTCCGAGCCTTGGGGCTCTAATCCCTTAAGCGGATTCCCCTGCAACTGTGCAGATCTACCTGGAAAGCCACACAGTGCCTTTCGTGTCCTAGGAAGGAACAGGGCTCTCCTTTATTGGCGCAGGCCTAACCACAGCCTTAAGGAGCCGGGCTGACACCATGGCTGTGGCCGTGGACGCGCACGTCACCAGTGTGAGGATGGTGCAAGACCCAGCGGTGTTTCCCTCCGTTGTTCGCAGAGCCACTATGAGTCGGAACTGACTCAGCGGAACCTAACCACTTGTGCCAGAGGCCACAGAGCCAGTAGGCAGTGTCCTGGCCCAGGGCTCTGCGGGCCTTGCGGGCACACTTGCATCTATTCTCGAGCTTAGGGGCCCAGGGGTGGGGGGTCCTTCGTCAGATCCCCCTTCATGGTGGCAACGGGCTTGTTGAGGTCTCGCCGTGCTGGATCTGTCGGGGAGTCAAAACCCGTAAAGCCTTAGAGACCTATCCGCGAAGCTACCCTGGACCAGCGTGGCCTGAGGCAGGTCCAGCCAGCAGCTTCTGACCTCTTTCCTCCAGCATCCCAAAACTGGCGCTCACACCGGGTGAGAGTCTTCCATTTTGCAGAAGGGTAGATACTGGCTATCTGTCAGCCAGCTGCATAAAATTTGAAATTGGCTTATACTCCGCACTAGCTTCTCTTACTGTTCATATAATTAACAGTGATACTCCAGGGGCATGTGTGTGTGTTGTGGGTGGAGTTTGTTCCTCCCCCTCCCTCACCCAAGTGCCCAAGATAGTTGTGGTGAATGCTAGTTCATGGACGGTCCCACTCTGACCATGACGTTCCCCGTAACTTTCTCTCTGGAGCTGGCAGTGGCTGAGAAATGTGGCTTTGGCTCCCAGATAGTTAAGTTCACAGCTGACTGTCGATAAGCGTTGAGAGTATAGTTTGTAATTCTCCGTCTTGCACTATGACTGGAATGGGGAGGAGAGCCCAGCAGCTTTCCACAGAAAGGTGTGGTGCTCCTGATTAGCTTTACAAGGTACAACGAAGAAGCAGAAGGGGACACACCAGTCAACTAGGGTTCTTTTGTCCTCTCCCTCAGCCCGATTTGAATATGGGAAATTCTGTAAAAGAGATGGTGGTCAGTAAAGAAAGCATTTGTAGCTAATTAATTGGAGGCACGCTAATATGATTAAAAATCATTTTCAAAAATGATTGTCTAGTTTATTAAGTTCTCACTGCTATGGACTTGATGCCAACGCATAGCTCCGGCTTTCTCCCTCGGAGTGGCTGGTGGTCTTGAGCTGTGGGCCTCGCGAGTAGTCGTCCAAGGAGTAGCCGTGATGCCACCAGAGCTCCTTGCTGAATGCACACAGCACCATACTTGCTCCACTACTGGCAAAAGACAAGAATGCTGAGTAGTTATTATACTGCAGGCTCATGTTTCCGGGAGGATAGCACAGGAGCATTGACTACAACATGTAACCAACCCACTGTGCCACTAGGGCACCGTAACATACAGGGATCTACTTTTGCAGTCCTGTGAGTCATCCCAGCACACCCCACCCCCGGGGGGGGGGGGTTTGATCCACTTAGGCATGCTCACTTAGGGACACACTGCACCAGACTCTTAAAAAATGTGTAAGGTGATTGCTTGCTAAACATACCTAAGGTGCTCATAACCCATCATAAACATTGCTACAGAAAATTAGCTAAATTTCAGTACATACCAAGAGATGGTATCTGTAGTACCTTAGATGTATGGAATGATCTACAAATCAGGGAAGGCATCTAATGAGCAACGGCACACGAAAGCAAGGGGAATGCTGTCCTTTCTGCCTTATATTGACGTGGTACTTTGCTGGTGTTTCAAGAGAAACATCCTAACGCAGAATTGTTTAATTTTTCCTACTGACTCTGTAAGCCAGAGGTGACCAGCTTTGGTTACCATCTTGAATTTGTTTAGTCTGGAGCTTGCCCTAATTAAGCTAAGTCAGTAGAGCAGCAGTTCTCAACCTGTGGTCGTGACCCCTTTGGAGGTTGAAGGACCCTTTCACAGGGGTCGCCCAGTTCATAACAGTAGCAAAATGACAGTGATGAAGTAGCAAGGAAAATAATGTTATGGTTGGGGGGTCACCACAACCTGAGGAACTGTATTAAACGGTCGCGGCACTAGGAAGGTGAGAACCACTGCAGTAGAGGAAACTGACAGTAAAGAATGTGCATGAGAAACCCAATAGTCGCCTACCTTGGGCCTAACAGTGACCCTGTTCTTCTACAGACGGACAAGGTTGCAAAAGCGTTCAAGTACTTGGAAGCCGTCTTCGCCTTCATTGAGTGTGGGATTGCCATGGAATCTGAAAGCCCAGCGTCAAAGTCGGCCTACTCCGTGTACTCCGACACGATCGAGCTCATTAAGTGAGTGCCAGGGCAATTAGCTGATCCTCTTACGGCCTTCCTTTCCTTACCTTTATTGCCTCATCTGTGGGCATCTTGGTATGCAAACCACTCAATAGACAAGACAAACAAAAAAACCAAGTCACTGCCATCGAGTTGATGCCGACTCATAGCAACCCTGTAGGACCAAGATAGTACCACCCGTGTGAGTATCCAAGACTGTGACACTGTACAGGGGTGGGGAGGTCCTTCTCTCCCATGTGAACTGTGGATCTTGCAGTTAGCAGCCCACCGAGCAACCACTACTTCTATTGAGGGTTCCACAAGAGGCGAGAGGGAGCCTTAGAGCCCTAAACTAAAATTGTATTCTAGACGAAGAGCTCAGACAGAAGTAGTGACCTGGCAACATCATTTGGCATCATTTTTGCCAAGTAAAATGCAGGACCTTAGAGGGAGAGCCTGCTGTTTCCCAGTTTTATCAGTATCGAATGCTCTCTTGTCCCTGTGTGAGCCCTGGTCTTTGTCTCTTATCTGCATTTTAACAGGGGTCCCAATGAGGACGTAGCCCTGTTTGATTTCAAGCAGGTAGGAGGCCAGAGACACACTCTCCTAGGCTTCTGAGTGGCCTGGATCTCAAGCCTCAATCCTGCAGAGTGCTTATGTCTGCACACTTTCAGGAAACATCACTACGAAACTACACAAATGTACAGTAAGATTTGTTTCTCTCTGGGGTCTTTAACTGCCTTGTTTAACCTGGTGTACCTTTACGTTTTCCTGTAGCGTCATACTGTCATTAAAATCCTTCTCGGATGCCACCACGCCAACACAAGAGAGAATATTTGCTGTCTTATGGTGTGTACTTTTCCCTTTGTCTAAATAGTATACTAAATTTGTGTTTGTGTTTTTTGATGGGACAAAAGATCTTAAATGGTAATTATTTTGCTAGCGTGGGCATTCTGATTGATGGAACAGTGAGCCAGTGACCGACCGAAAGGTGGAGGCCGGCTGTGTGGTATGGAGGGCTCATCCAACTGAAGGCTCCTTTTAGGAAGTGGTGAACTCCCTGCAGAGTGCTTATGTCTGCACACTTTCAGGAAACATCACTATAAAACTACACAAAGTCGATGCCAACTCACAGTGACCCTACAGGACTGGGCAGAGTTGCCCATGAGTTTCTGAGAGGGTAACTTTTGACGGGAGTAGAAAGCCCTGTCTTTCTCCTGTGGAGCGGCTGGTGGTTTCAAACTGCCGACCTTTGGGATAACAGTCCAACGCATAACCACTATGCCACTAGGGCTCCTTTATGAAGTGACGTCTGTTGCCACCATTTACTGAGGACTCAGTGAATGCTGTAGTCTTGTGACTTCAGCGAGCACCTTGTGAATCGGTGCTTTCCTCACCGACACTGACTTTTGATGATAGTGTGAGCAGGATTACTCCTGAGCTCATTTTCCTTCCTTCTCGCATCTGAAGAAACTCCGTGTGCTCATTAGGCTGTGAGACAAAATTAGATGGTGTATTTCTGTAGATGTGGTAGGCGTGGCCACCAGAGCAATACCCCACCTCAACGTACTTTTCTCCTTTGTCCATAGCATGCGCTGCCAGTCCATTTTGAACATGGCTCTGTTCCGTTGTAAGAAGGACACAGCAGTGAAGTATTCTCGTACTCTGAGTGACCACTTCAGGAGCACCCAGGTACCTTCTCCCTGCATCGCAAGGTAACTTACACATCTGTTGTCAGCACGCGCACCGTCCTTGACCTCCCTCTGGCTTCAGCAGCCGTGTGACTTTGCACTGCTTTGTGTCTTTCCATCATGAGCTGCGGGGGGGGAGGGTCAGCCCCCCACAACTAATCACGGGTTCAGTAAGTGCAATTGTATGGTTGACTATATATATTATAGTCATAGATAGCATGAAAGATAGACGAGAGATTGAAATAATTGTGTCAGACACATTTCATGGTAGCATGCTCACCTCCTGGATGGGCCAAGGTGAGGTGGTGCGGAGACCCAGCAGGAGGCAGGAGACCCCATTTATTGCTTACCAAGGGTTATCACTACCTAGGGGGGACGTGATTACAGGTCACATGTCACAGAAAGGGGCAGTACAATAGGCATACACATCATAGGAAGGGTATGTACAATGGGCTTAAGCGTGACAGGAAGGGGATGAGCTAGGGGTGTACACATGATAGGAAGGAGAGGGACTAGGGGTATACATGTGACAAGGGCGGACCTTAGATTCATGATGGCGGCCTAACCTTGGTCACCCTTGGGTGGGCTTGACCTATCTGGGGTGTCCTACAAGTCAACTACTGTCCTTATCAGAAGGGAGTGGGTCCTACTTGTTGTGGGATAAACAGTGGTGTCTGCTTGCTCTAGATGGCTGATAACCCTTAGGGAGAATAACCCCTGACCTACTTCTGTTGACCTCCAACTGTATGGTCATTCACTACAGGTAGCAAACAGCTAAGTTTGGCACATATTTGGGGGAGACAATTTGGGAGAGACCTTTGTTTCCCACAACGAGCGCGGTCCTGCCGGGGGAGAAGTCGTGGGAAGAACTACGGCTGTCGCTCGCTCACTGCCATCGAGTCCCGGCGGCTCACTGCAACCCTGTAGGGCAGGCAGAACCGCCCCGTGGTTTCCGAGGTGGTAAGGCTTTATGGAAATAGAATGCCCCCTGATACAGCCCAACGTGTGTCACCGTACTGGGGCTCCTTTATTTGCTTACTAGATCACTTTTTTTTTTTAAAAACCAAATGATAATTGCAAAGACCGGGAGTCAGACTCTTATGGCTTTAAAAATATTTAGACAAGGCTAAGAACAAAGAACAATGAGAGGCAAAGCCCAAACAGAACCTGGGCCAAGTCTTCCCTCCCTCCACAGTGAAATGCCTGCTGGGTGTCTCGATAGATCGGGAGTTCCAGAGCCACGGGCCCAGACACGTACACAAGGCAGCCTCCGGGAGGCTGAGCTCGGGAGCGATCGTCTCTAGCACTGTTGTCTCCCCGTGTGGTGAGCTGAAAGGTGACATCACGTGGTCCTTCCTTAGGGCAGGAGTTCAGACGAGGTAGAATGTTCTTCCTAGTCACGGCCCTCCTTTTTTTTAAAGTAATTTGGTCCTACTCCTTAAATAGCTTCCAGTTCTGATAGGTTTTGCTATTTTGAGACTGTCACTTAGAAGACTGCCCCATTTCCAGCACGTGCAAAAGACGAGGCTCCCAGGTGGCCTCTCTGAAAACTGCAGGTCCTGGTGGAAAAGAAGCCCTCCCCACACCAGTTTTGCCCAGCTGCTAGATCAGGCATCGCCTTGGTCCAGAGTCATGTTCTAGGTACTTGGGAGATGACAGTACGCAAAGTGGACCAGCATCTCAACGCTCAGAGTTTCCACTCAGCTCCTGAGAAATAGACCTTTTGTTGGGTGCACGTAGGGCCCACGCAGCCCAACAGGTGGGTGGACCACCATATGAGGTCACTTCCACTGGACTGCCGCTCCGTCTCATCTGCACTGGCTTCCTCATAGCAAAGGGGGGGTGGGGGGTGGGTGCCTCTTACCGTTCCTCATTTGGCTCACAGTGAGGCACCGGTAATTCTGAGTGGGCTGCCAACAGCAGAGTAAAGATGAGTCTCTACCCCCAGTCACCTTGTAACCTTCAGGCCTTGCGGCGGCGGCTGCTCACCAAGAGCCTGCTCCACCAATGCTGGGGCTGCAGAGACTGCTGAGCAGTGGTCTCCGCCCTCCGGGTGCTCGGGACCTCGAGAAGAGCACAAAGTGCTAGTAGGAGTTAATAATGCGGCGAACTGCACGTGCAGTGGTCATAGCACGGCCCTGATAGGGATCCCTAGTGTGTAGGAGAGAGCCAGGTAGGTCGTAGATGTTCAGTTAATGTCGATGAACATGTAAAAATACCAACATAACTTTGTGAGCCTGTGTATGCGTATGCATGTCATAGTCATGTTTATATATATATGTATCATTCAAAACGTTCTTGGGAGAAGTCCGTCATTTTATTTTCCCGACGACTTTTAAAAGGCCCCTGTGTGAGATTAGAGCCATCTTTGCAGGGGGATTGGAGCCATGCGTGACGAGGGGAAGACTATGTAGAAGAAATAGAAGGCTCCGCTGGCAGAAAAGCACATGTGCCGGCATCAGTCCGTCATACGTCCAGGGGAGGGGCCATGGCCGGGCCAGGGGTGACATCTTTTAATTTTGGGGGGTTTCATCTCACTGTGGTCATGAGTAGAGAGCCCCGGAATACCGAAGGTGAAAGGATGGTGCTTGACCTTGTGGGAGCAACGGTGACTGTGGAACTTTATCCCTTGGTCTCGTACACACTGATATTCTGACAAGAAAATCTCTGGCCTGGGAGATTAACCAGTCTTCCCTCTCTCTCTCTCTCTCTCTCTCTCTCTGCCTTCCAGAAGCACAGGCACACCGTCCCCTCACTCCCCCATGCCTTCTCCTGCCAGCTCTGGGGGTTCTCAGTCGAGTGCTGGCAATTCGGGGAGCACCGGGATGGCGGCTACCATCAGCACCCCCGTCACCATCCAGAACATGACGTCTTCCTATGTCACCATCACTTCCCACGTCCTTACCGCCTTTGACCTTTGGGAACAGGCCGAGGTCCTTACTAGGAAGAATAAAGGTAAGTGGGTCTATAGGGAGATTCCGAGGTATGAGAGTCGACAGGGAATAAATACAGGGTTGGCCTACACGTTACATTGGCCAGAGCAAAGGGAACGTGCAGCCGGTTAATCCTTTCACATTTTCTCCAGTCGACGTCCTGGCCGGCTTGCCACTCCTCCTTTGAGGCTGGTAGCTTCTGAGCTGAGTTTCTGTGGCTAGATCTGCACCATACGCCATCAGCAGTGGTTCCGCCTCTGGCCCCTTCACCCATTTCCAGGACCTTTAGTTCAGCCTGGCCCGAAATGCCAGCAAAACAGCCAGGCAAGCAGAGAGAGAGAGAGTCCCTGGTTGTCCCTAGGTATAACAGAATTGAGATCTCGAGCGACACTCCTCAGATATGGGGTGGGTAGTGTGTGGTCACTGTGCACTGCAAGAGGTGATTAGAGCGGTGGACTATGGCGCAGGACACATTCAAGAGCTTTGTTTGGGAGGAGGGGGTTTGGGAGATGGGAAAGAATGCAGTTGGGGGAACTGCTTGGCATCTGTGCCAGCAGCTACTAAGTAAATGCTTCCACGTGAGCGCCAGCCCACGGCCAGTGCCTCTTCCCACTGGCTGAGAGAGGGAAGGTGGCCAGCTGGCTGCAGCCCATTTCCCCCACAGCCCCTTAGAACTACATTATCTTTCTGAGCAAACTCATGAGGCTCTTACATGTTTGGTTTAATTTTGCCTCCACTGATCCGAACATGTAGCTCAGAGGTTTTCTGAGTTCTAGATAGTGTGCCAGGCACGATGGGTTCCACCAGAAGACGAGCGGGGTTCCTCAGCCTGCTGGCCGGGGGGAACTGGGGGTGTGTTGGGGGGGGAAGGGTTTGGGGGATGAGCAAGCTGGTGCAGCACGTGTGCTGGACTTGCCGTGAAAGATGTACTGAGAGAGGGTTGTGGGCATGTGGTTTCTGGAGCATTCACTTCGTGTTTGGCCTTGTTTAGGTTTGTGTGTGTGCATTTGTATTGACTGAGTTTGCTCTGGTCTTAATTTGCAGAGTTCTTTGCTCAGCTCAGCACAAGCGCACGTGCCCTCGCCCTTAACAGCAGTCTTGTGGACCTGGTGCACTATGCAAGACAGGGTTTTCAGCGGTTAAAACAAGTAACCAAAACACCTTAACAGAGGCCCAAGGTGATCCAAGGCCTTGGGAACTTTTCTTTTGCACACGGAAAGCCTCAAGACCAGTCCATGTGTCTCATCAGGACCCCAAGCTCAGAAAGAATGGCCACGAGACGGCTCAGATGTTGTCCGCTTCAAGTCTCCAGACAGCGTGCCTGTGGTGGGACCCGATGGTTACACGGACGCAGAGATGAGGAGGCCTCAGAGAGGGTTCTGCCTTTGCTGCCCCGAGGACAGACGTGCAATGTGGACCGAATGGTCGTGTGAATGGTCTAGAAGCATTTCTTTATTCTTTTAACCAGCAGGATGAAAGTTGCTAATGAAATATGAGGCGAGGAGAAGCAATTTCAACTCTGAAAGCAAATGAATATCATCTCAGTCGCCATACTAGGCCATTCCCAGAAGTAAATTTTATTTATTTTTTTTCCCCTAAACGCTGTCTGGTGTAGGAGGTTTGTTTGTTTTCATTTGTAAGTTTTGGGAGAACCGTCTATTGAATGAATTCTCAGTCATCTATGCTGTTGTGAAGGATTTCTCCGTATCCCACTTTCTGCCAGTGGACCATGGCTTTGATACCATGTATTATCCTGATTTATAAAACCGAAGGTATGTCCATCCCGGGGCTGGGGGGTGGGCGTCTTCTGAGTCACCAAGGCACACGGGGCCCGGGCACCACCACTCCCACCCCGCCCTGCATCAGCCGAAGGGCCTGCTCTCACCAACACTGACCACTGACTTTTTGCTGCCCTGGGGAAGGAGGGCGCCCACCCGGCCCGCAGTGACCGGGTGTGTTGGTGGAGCTGGCCCCTCCGAGCTGTGTCCATGCACAAAGAGACAAACAGAATCTCGTTTCCCAGAGGCGCCATCTTTCTGCTGTGGATTAGCTCCTAGAGCAAGCCGAGGCCTTTGCAGCCCTGGGCCGTCTCGCAGGGAAAGTAACCGTTTTAGAGAATGTGGAGATTTTTTGGGGGGGCGTTGTTAAGTGGACATTCTGAAAACTCATCACCACATGCCTTTGCTCCTGAGCGATCGTTCCCTGTTGGCTGAATTTGACCAGACTGGAAAGAAAACGGGCCGTTCCTGTAAGCCATGATGGCCACACTGCATCCACTAAGCCACATTCCCATGGAGTGGCTGAAACGAGGGAGCACAGGTGTTCATTTCTGTTGGAACATGGAAACACGGTTGGGAGTGGCGTGTCTCCACAAATCAGCCCTTGCTGTTTCTTGCAGAAGAAGTAGAGTTTGCACATGTACTGAGACGGAAGCGGGGCGTCTCCGAAGCAGGGTGCTTGGCTTCCCTCCCCACACCCTGCCTGGCCCCGTCCCTGCCTGGGGTCCTGCTGTGCGCTGGTGCAGTGTTCCTGGCAGGAGGTAAACTTCTTTCCTGGTAACGAACATGCGCTAGGTCCACGTTAGGAGCGGCAGCACGTGCTCAGCGGTTGGGTGAATTTGTCAGGGGTAAAGCAGAAAATGGGGGCCATGTTTATTTATCTAAGTGTACAGAGGTGAAGCTTTCGGTTCAGCTTCTCGTCCAGCCAGTTCTGGTGCCAGGAGCGAGGCGTGGATCAGCAGAAGAGAGCAGTCGGAAGAGCTGGCCAGAGACGAACGGCCCCCACGAGCCCATTGCAGGTAGTGATGTTGTGAAGCAAAGCCAAGGCTCTTTCTAAAGGTCTAAATTACTGGGTCACGACACCGCCTGTGGGCCAGTGGACGATGACTGCCTGGTAAGTGGTGTGCTTGTGGCTCTGTGTGACCCCTGGGTGTAGGGGCCAAGTTGGAATGTAACATGAGAAGTTCGCATCTTTGGATCCCTACGCCCTCGCCCCGCCTCTGTCCCCTTCTTGCCCATCACTCCCCCACAGCAGGCCGCCTGCCCATCTCAAAGGTTCAGGCTCTCGTGTGCAGACAGGGCCATGGTGGGCGGGCGTGTATTCTCCCGTGGCTGCAGGGACGTTTCAAAATAAATTCCTCAGTCGGTTCTAAAGACATGATTGCCTTTCCCGCCCCCTTTTTCTCCATGGGCATGTCTTGGCCCCTCCAAAAGCCAGACTCATCTGCATAGGTCAGTATGTATGATGCTGACCTTCCACGACTTGACTGCAAACGTGCATCGACTGCACCCAAAACACAATTCTGCCTCGCCGCCTTTTTCAGGGTAACTACAGAAGGCAGTGGCTGATGGATCCTTAATGTTCATGAAGTCTCTTTGCTGTTACAGTTGTATATAGAAATCTAAAAGATTTTTTTTTAAATCATTTGCACTTTTTCACTGCATGCTGAAGTTCCCAAAGGCAAAATTTGTACTGAGGCAGATAATCGAAAGACCGGATTGTACGATCAAGCCTTTGAAATAGAATAGTTTCTTATAACAATAATCATAGACATACAGAATTCAAATTTATCTAAGGAGTGAAATGAGAGTATAAAATCTTGCCTTTGGCACTACAGATTTGAGTGTGTGTGTGTGTGCGCGCGTGCGCGCTTGTCTAGTAAATGGAAGAACACTTTTCACTTTTTAAAATGTTGAGTATTTCTATCCTTTCAGGAGATCATTAAAATGTGAATGATTTGGACCTTTAGTCGGACTAAGAGTCCTGCTAAGCGAAGGGACAACACTTTACTACACAATCGACCAAATGACAGAGAGGGAAGCCTGTGAAGGGGGGCCGCATGCCCCTGGTGTTGAGAGCAGGGGCGCTGGGCGGGGAGGATGACAGCAGGGTAATCGGATGGTCAGACATTGTGGGTTGGCCACTGTACCGACTGAGAAAGGACCTTTACAGGCCTGTTGGCCCAAAGCGTGCAGTTCGTTCTCCCAGCGACACTGCACCGCACACAGTGCTATATTGTTCTCTACCCTTTGACTCCAGGTCTCTAATTGCTATCATACATATTACTGTCAGTAGGATCAGAAACTTGGGGGTCCTCGACGTTTGATGATTCCTGGTCAGTAATTTGTAGGAGAAAAAAGGAAATCCTTGTGCCTTCCCTAGTCTACAGGAACCTTGTTTGGGATCTTGACGGGGGAGTTGGGGAGCATCTATTTATATTTATCTGAACACGTGCTCAGAGGAAGAGGCTTACTGAGCGGGATGTCTTTATTGACGGCACCAAATGCCGAAACGCGGCCGTATTTCATTTATCGTGGCTTCAAGGGTGCCCTGTGAAACTTACACCTTTTATTCTCCCTGAGTTGTCATCTTTGGGGTCTCATTGCCCGTCTTACGGCAAATGAATCAAGTGAGGCCTGAAGTCAGGCTCGCTAAATACAGATACACACAAATGTACGTATATGCATATATACGTATGACGTATGTGCGTATCCTTTTAAAAATTTGTATATAATATACTTAAGAAAATCCTTGCTACGCCTCCCACCAATGATCTATTTTCCCAGACACTACGCAAGATCTTTGTCAAGTGCTGCTTTGTAAACCGCGCCACCTGGTCCACCCTCCACCAGCACCACCACTGTTGAGCAGTATTGAACTCTCGCCACCATAGTCCCAACTTCTCTCAGAGACACACGTATAGGCTTCCTCATGGGGGGAGAGAGAGCCATGCAGTTAGCCCGGATCTGCCATGGCCATACGAGCACCCCCACCCCCACTATCGCAGGGACTCGCCCAGTGTGTGTGTGCTCTCTCTTGGTGCCATTTGGAGTGAATGGGGGCTGAGCTCTCACCAGTGCCACTCAGCTCTTTCTGCTGTAGGACACGGAGTTGGCAGGGTTATGCTCCAAGCAATTGCAAGTGCTGTCTGCAGGTGTCAAGCCTCACATGTGTGGGTGTCACCGACCCAGCGTGATTGTGCCTCTCTTGGTGACTCGTGAGTGCCGGCCGTGGCCTCTAGTCCAGTTCATCACGAGCCATGAGCGGACAAGCACCATCTTTTTGCAAGGGGCTGTGGATTTCACATGGGCGGGGGCGCACCACGCTAAATCGGGTCTCAGGGCACAGCCTATCTCAAAAAGTACGCTGATGGGTCAGGAAGGGCTAATCCAAGGAGCCCCGTGTGGCAGGGAGGAAACACCCTGGAGTCCAAGCCCAGCCTTGGAGCACAGGGCGGACACACCCCTGCCAGGGAGGCTGGCCCAGCTACCCCGCAGACAGGCTGAGGCGGCCGGCCCAGGGCAGAGCTGGCTTTGCATTGAGTAGCTGTTTCACACAGACAGTATTAACTCTGCCTTCTGTTCTGTCCTCGGCCACGAATTGTTAACATCACTGTGCGCCCCTTCAGACATCAACTATACACTGTCCATGGTGTGTGTGTCCCCATTGTTTTAAATTTTTTTTCTCTCTGAATGTGATCATGTTTTGGATGATACCTGAGCAGGGTTCCCCCCCTTTTTTTATTTATTACCATTATATATTATATTATATATATTTTTTTGCTTTCTTATAGCTTTAGAGGAAAGTCAAATCTTGGTATTATTAAAATTGTTTAAATGAATAAATTGAATAAAGTGTCCAGTCGATCAGATGAAGATCACTGGTCTTTCTTTGATCACTGCAGAAGAATGTGCCAGCTGTGCAGGGCACACCATGACATTTGTACGTGACGCAGGATGGAGAAGCATCAACGCTCACGGGAAGATGTGCAACACGCATTAATACGGGCATCCGTGGATTTGTATCTGTCAGCAACCTGGGGCTTTTGTGAACATAACTTAGCTGAAAGACATACTGATCTGTGAGAGAACTATAGAATGTTTCCTTTTTCTTTTTTCTTTATATATATAAATATATTTTTAGAAGAAAATGTTGCAAAAGATCTCTCCAAAGATAATGTGCCACAGATCTTTTGTTCCTTGTTCTGTTATGAGGATTAATTGCTGTTTAAAAAATGTCATTGATTTGCTCATCTTTAAATTCCTTTTTACAAGAGGATCGAGCTGTAAAAAAATAAAAATGAAAATCTAGAGAACACGAGTCGAAAGCCTGCTTTCCTTTGGTCTGAGTGGTCCAGTTCCCAGCACAGTGACAGCCACACGGAACCTAGTGTGGGACAGACGGACCAGACCTGGGGCCCCGACAGTCATGCCCAAAGGCCAATGGACTCACAGAATCAGTCCCGCCGGCCCTCTGGGTGGGGGAGCAGGGGGAGCAGAGGCAAGCGCCTCTTCCTGCCTCCGCAGCTTCCCCTCACACAGGTTGGCCTGCGTCACACCAGGGGGGCTTTTACCCTAAGGTCACCTCCACTGGCCCCCTGGAATGACTTGCCTGGTTCCTGCTGGACCTGTCACAGCCTCCCCCAAACAACCATGAGGCCCGTGGGCGTTGCCAGCCGCCTGGGCGGTGACCAAGTCGAAGGTCAGCACAGTCCTTTCTCAGCATCTGTGGTTCCCCCTAGACCAGGCTGCATGCAAGACAGCCTGGAGCCAAAGCCCTGACAGCAGAGCCGCCCACCCCTCGGGCAGCCTGGGCGCTGGCCTTGAAATACTTTCCAAACGTTTTGTTGGAGCTTTCAAAGGCTCTGTGCTGCTGCACCAGCTAAGTACCTTTAATGCCCCTC